AAGACAGGTAGGGCGGGCGCGGGCAGCGCGGCTCGGCCTCCCCGCGCCAGCCGGGCCCGAGAGCCGGGAGGGCGGCAGCATGGCCCGTGCCGCGCTGGCAGTAGTAGCGACCGGGTAGCAGCACTAGCGCTGTGCTCATATCACAGTAACGACGAAACACTGTGCTGTGCCGGACTCCGGTCTGCTATACTCGCAGCCTAGCAGTGGTGAGTATAGTAGGAGTCACGATAATACTGTATTATAACAACACTTGGTAATACGACGCCCTGAAGTGGTGCTAAGAGGGTGGCAAGAGTCTCGTCTCGGTGGCCGCAGGGGACAGGCCGGGCAGGAATGGGCGCACTTGGCACGGGGCAAGCCGAGGTTGGGTGTTGCAGCTTTCTCACGTTGCAGGCGGTTAAAGGCTGGCCCAAGCAGGCCGGCGAGGCCGCGGACTGCTCCTCGGTGGCAGTTTCAAAGCAGGCGAAATAAGCGTGTGTCTAGACAGGGCTGGTCCTGCCCGGAGCGGGTCCCTGCCAGCCCGACTCCTCCAGGATCCTCGGGATACTACACGCGGGGCCCCGATCCCCGGCGGCCCCCGGGAGCCAGCCCTCGGGACGGCGCTGCCCGCGGATCGAGGAGCCCGGCCCGGCCCGCGGCTGCTGGGAGCACAGGGATGGTTTAAGGGGAGTTTTGCTGACTCCAGGCCCCGGACAGCTGGATCCGGGGCGCCGGGAGCTTGCGGGAGGAGCGCAGCGCCGTGCTAAGGGCGGCGGGCAGGGCCGGGGCAAGCCCCCGGAGCTCGCCGCTGACTGCGCCGCGTGTCTGTTTCGCCCCAGACCTGTGCTCCCTGCAGGAGCAGGAGAAGCGGGACGTGGAGGAGCCCGACCGCCCCCGGCAAAGGAAGCGCAGGAAACCGCGCGTCCTCTTCTCGCAGGCGCAAGTGTACGAGCTGGAGCGGCGCTTCAAGCAGCAGAAGTACCTGTCGGCCCCGGAGCGGGACCACCTGGCCAGCGCGCTGAAGCTCACGTCCACGCAGGTGAAGATCTGGTTCCAGAACAGAAGGTACAAATGCAAGCGGCAGAGGCAGGACCAGACGCTGGAGATGGTGGGCGCGCCGCCGCCCCGCCGCATCGCCGTGCCCGTGCTGGTGCGGGACGGGAAGCCCTGCCTGGGCGAGTCCTCGCCCTACAGCCCCCCGTACAACGTGAGCATCAGCCCCTACAGCTACAACGCCTACCCCGCCTACCCCAGCTACGGCGGCCCGGCCTGCAGCGCCAGCTACAGCTGCAGCTACCCGGCCGTGCAGGCCGTGCCGCCCTCGGCCGCCGGCAGCGGCTTCGTCAATTTCGGCGTCGGGGACTTGAACTCCGTGCAGGCGCCGCTGCCGCAGGGCAGCGCGGGCATCTCCACGTTGCACGGGATCCGCGCCTGGTAGAGCCGCGCGGGGACGGCTGAACCCCGCCGGGCTCCCCGTGGTGCCCGCCGGCCGGGGCTCAGGCAGCCGCAAGGGAGGCGCTAGCCTGGTTCCTGCGGGGGCACGCCCGGTTAGACGTGCGTGCGGGGGGGGCCTTTCCCTAGTGCAGCTGCCAGCCCCCGGCCCGGGGCAGCCCGTGACGACCCCGCACACCCGCCCCCAGCCGGCTTCTCCCCTTGGCACCCCGCATGCTCCCCCCGCACGCCCCGTCCGGG